AAATGAAAATTTTCACACCTAATATATCAGTTTATGCATTATGTGTTTGCTTACAGCCCTAATGTTCGCCAGTCATGCAGTTGGAAAACCAACCTCTTTTTAAATGAAATATAGTATATTTCCACTAAGGTAATTTAAGTGACTTTCCGGTGACTCTAAACTATAGCAGCCCAAACCGAAACTACCTAGCGAACAGATAAATAACCTTGACAATGACAAATGTGACCAATCAGAAGCCCCTATAGAAACAGTGCATAATTTCAATAAAACGTTTATATAAAAGTAATGTTAAAAAATATTTACAAAGGATAACGTTCTCGTAAAAAAAAATAAAATAAAAAAAAATAAAAAAATAAAAATAAAGTATATGTTCCAAAAAAAACCTCCGAATTTCTCATAGTTATATTATATCAAGCCCTGTACATAAACTCATCGAGATAACTGCATATCATTGCATTTCTTGATCCATTCACAGATCTGATCCGGTTTTTGAAGTGACTTTAAAAATTTTCGATGGAATTAGTGTGAGTTCCATCGAAAGGATTGATGAAATCATTTGTATGGTTTACGACGTAATGAATGTAGCCCAGGGTTGATAGCCGTCTAGAACTACTCCATTCATCTGTATGAATAGTTGTTATAGGCAGCACTAAGCGTTGGACACTGTGCAATAAGACATTTGCACTGCGATTAGGTATCACCTCAATGTATCTTTTGTGGAGGGTGGTGTGATATGTCCCCAACACCCACTGCTGATTTGCACTCAGTCTCTCTCGATTATATTTTCCTCTTATCAGCACTGTCTCATCCATGTGAACAATGATGCCAACTCCGCCAAGTACTCGGGTCAGCCAGTTAATTTTCCATGATGTTATGTCTCTACAATAATGGTACCATTGCACTGCAGACACTTCTGAATTTTCTGATTCATACGCTGTTGTTATTACTGGTATTTTAAGCACCCAGTTATAACACACCATTAAGATTTTCGTTAGAGGTAATTTAGACTTAGCGAAAAAAGGACCTACGGAATCTGTAAACTAAAAAAGAACACCATACCTTCTCGAACTGACTTTCTGGTTCGGCACTCATCGCACCAGTAAATAAATCCATCAATGCACCTAGTATATCTTTGTAAATACATGACACATCCAAGTTCACACTTTTTCGACCTTCCTATCAGTTTGTTCTCTAAACAGTAATCAAAAACAAGATCTGGAGCAAATTTGCAACGCAAAAGGTGTACAGCATCCATAAGTACGTCTGGATAATACGGAGTCACTTGATTGGCTGCTCAAGATAATTTATCCCTTCGTTAGGTAGTTTTGGTTTGGTTTACAGTCACCTCACAATTATCAAATTGCATAAATATAGTTAAACAAATGTATTGGAAAAATGGAGATTTGATATTCTACCGTTTTTCGATCTATTACATTCCGCTGAATTTTCACGCCTAAATTGTTTGAAGTCATCTAAACGCATTACAGTTCGTCGCCTAACAAATGCTGGGAAGAAGGCTACGTCAATACACTGACATCTGACTGTATTATTATTATTATTGTTCTCTTGGGTTCCTAGTGGAACATAGGGCTTCAACTCCACGTCTCCACTTGCTTCTGTCTTCCTTCTGCTGTACTTTTCACCTGCATCCATGTTAGTTAGTCCATACTGTTTCAACTCCTCTTCACACGATCTCCTCCATATCAGCCTCGCACTGACGACCCACTCGCCGCTTCCCTTTCGGCCTGGTTCCACTCGAGCAATGGCCTGACGCGCGCGTGATGTCACCCAGCGGCGGCCTCCTCAGCGAGTGTCCAATCCATCTCCACTTTCTCCTGCATATTTGTTGGGCGATTGATTGGTTCTCATTTTGTTTGTTCCCATAGTTTCTTGTTGGTGATTCTTTCCGGCCTGGCCATCTGATCTTCAGTATAGATCCAGCGAAGACAGTTGTTGATAAAGGTCTGCAACAGGCTGTTGGAAATATTCTTTGTGACCCGACCGCCAAGTTTCTGATCCGTATAGAAGAACTGACTGACTTGACGTTTGTATTGAAAATCCGACCGAATTTTGTTGTTGATGCTGGCTGAGTGACGAAGATTTCCAGATTGGTTTCAGGTTGATGAATGTGTTTCTCGCCTTCCCGATTCTCGCTCGATTTGACATCCTCGTCCGTTCCAACTGCCTGTAGTTGAGACAATGCTCCCTAGATAAGTGAATGAAGTAACCTCTTTCAAATCCCTCCCGTTGATGGTGATTGACGTTGGATGTTGCTGTTGTTGGTTGGTTATTTTCATAACCTCCGTCTTGTCTATGTTCACCTGGAGTCCTGTCTTCGCTGATTGCTTCTTCGACCAGTTTGTCGGTTTTCGCTTGTAAGTCTTCGATTGTGTGTGACATCAAACATAAATCATCCACGCGCGAAATCCAGGTCTTCTAGGTTCTTCACGTCGGTCCAGGATATCTCTGTCTTCTCGTTTCCCACTGTCTGACGCATAATCCAGTCCACCACAATTAGGAATATCATTGGTGATAGTAAGCACCCTTGTCTGACTCCTGTGTTTACTCCAAACGCCTCGCTGAGTCTTCCGTTGTGGATCACTTGACATGTGCCGTTGTCGTACAGCTGTTGAATAAGGTTGATGAATATTTGGGGTACGCCGTAGTACTCGAGTAATTTCCAAATTACTTCACGATCAACGCTGTCGAAGGCCTTCTCAAAGTCTATAAAGTTGAGGTAGAGGTTTGATTGCCATTCCATGCTTTGTTCTGATGATGATGCGTAGAGTTGCAATTTGGTCAGTACATGATTTGCTCTTTCCTGAATCCAGCTTGTTCTGGTCGGAGTTCTGTCTCCAGTGCGTCCTTTAATCTCTCCAGGATGATGCGACTCAGGATTTTACTTGGCGTCGATAGGAGCATGATTCCTCGCCAGTTCTTGCAGAGTCCTAAGTCGCCCTTCTTTGGTAGTTTCACGAGGTAACCTTTCCTCCAGTCAGTAGGCACCTTTCCCTCCTTCCAGACCTTTTGCAATAATGGAGTCAGCATGTCTGCTGTAGTCTCTGGGTCCGCTTTCAGTGCTTCAGGGGGTATTCCATCTGGTCCGGCTGCTTTTCCAGCTTTCAGAAGCTTGATTGCATTCAAGACTTCAGCTCTCGTTGGAGGATTGGTGTCAACTTGCAGTTGTGTGTGCGCTGTTGTTGGTATTTCTGGACGGGTTGCAGGTGATGGTCGGTTCAAGAGTCCTTTGAAGTGATCCGCCCATTGTTTAATCTGTTTTTCTTCCTTGGTAATTGGGTTCCCTTGGCTGTCTTTTATAGGTTTCGCTTGTGTTGATCTCTTCCCGGATAGAGATTTGGTTATCTGATATAGTGTCCTCAGGTCCCTTTTGCCTGCTGCCTTCTCAGCTTCAGTAGCTAGATTGTCGTAGAATCGTCTTTTGTCCTTCCTAGCACTTTTCTTCACTTCTTTGTCCAATGCTTTGTAAGTTGAGCTCATCGTCTCCTTCTCCTGTCCGTCCTTGCATTGAATCATTTTCTCTTTCACCATTCTCCTCTCTTCTATTAATTTCCAAGTGTCCGTTGAGAGCCATTCCTTGTCTTGTCTCTTCTTTCTTCCTAGAACCGTTGAACACGTTTCGTTGAGAATCGCCTTCAGAGACTTCCAATGTTCTTCCACGCATGATTCTTCAGTGATGTCGCGTAGTGTTTCCTGCTTTGCTCTGACAGTTGCAGTGAAAGTGTCTTTTGTGGTTGTGTCCTTCAGTAATTGAGTGTTGAACTTGCATTGTGGCCTATCCCCAGCTATCCTCGAGGCTTTTAGTTTCACCTTGAAAGTCCCTTCTACTAGATAGTGGTCTGAACCCACATCTGCTCCTCTCCTTGACCTTGTGTCCAGTAGGCTCCGTCTCCACTTTCTTGAAATTGAGATGAAGTCTATTTGATTCTTGGTGTTTCCATCTGGTGAAATCCATGTCGTCTTGTGTATATCCTTGTGTTTGAACACACTACCGCCAATCACCAAATCATTGAAGGCGCAGAAGTCTGAGAAGAGTTCACCATTGTCGTTCATTTCACCGAGGGCCTCACGACCCATGGTGAGTTCTCTTCCTGTGTTGTCTCCTCCCAGCTTCGCATTCATGTCGCCCATCAGGATTTTGATATCGCCATTTGGGACGTTGTCCATTATTGCTTGTAGTTGTCTGTAGAACGCCTCCTTCTTCTCTTGTTCTGAGACGTTTGTAGGCGCATAGCATTGAATGACTGTAACTTTCCTTCCTTTTGAGTTGAACCTGGCTGTCATTATCCTGGAGGAGATTGGTTCCCACTGCATGAGAGCTTTGGTTGCTGTTGGTGACATCATGATGGCCACTCCCTCGGTGTGCTCATGGTTGTCCTCTAGGTGGCCGGAATAGATTACTGTCTCTCCAGTAGGTAGTTGGCACCTTCCAGTTCCGTTCCATCTGCTCTTGCAGATTCCCAACACTTCTATTCTGTACCTTCTCATTTCAGCGGCTATCTGGGCAGCCTTTCCAGTTTCGTACATTGTACGAACATTCCAGGTACCCATCCTTACTTTTGCTTTCATCGAAAGAAGGCACATCGGCTGACTGGCTTCCCGAAGGCTTTCACCAGCCTGCGTCATTTCACTTCCCCGATTCCAGCGAAAAACAAGGTTACTGTTTATATTTTTAGAATTTTTAATATATTGGCGCGTTGAAGTTTCTGTAGCGATTTGGTTGTTTTTCAGGGGTGGAGTTGCTAGCACCACGCCCCAACCCTCCCTCTTTACCTGGGCTTGGGACCGGCGAGAAAACTAGCAAGCTAGTAGTCTAGGCGAGGCTAGAAAACTAGCGAGCTATTAATCCAGGTGACGTTGACATCTGACCGTAATACTGAATAAACGAGACAATCAGAAATTAATTATAAAAAGTAATAATTACTGGATTAGATCTTTAATCAGGTGTGTATTTTCACCCATCATGAATACAAAATATGAGACGAAGAATGAGAAGCAAAATAGAGAAATCAATTAAACAGAGGATCTTATTATAGATTACTTTTTGTTATATCATCATTATTATGTCATTTGCTTACACAATAATACATCTGTAAATTAATTATTACATTCATTTAGAATTTCATCAATACATGAAACAATCTTTCCATAGGCATATTCAACATCTGCTCTTTTTGTACCATGTACACATGTGAATCGAAGAAATGTAATCGTATTATCTGATTTCTCCGTATTCATCTGATCCAAGTTTTCATCGTATGAACTTAAGACCAAAAAGATATCACCTTTCTTCATTAAATTCTCATGTAATTTCTTTGTTAATTTATTATCATTCTGTTGTTAAGAGAAAAAAAGGAAATAGAAATGTTAGTCAAGATGGGTGGGGGGTGGGTGGAACTCAGTTGCTAGGTGAAATGACTATAGTTGGAAAGAAAACTCGTTTGAGTTGAGATGTTTTTAAACATCAGTCAGTGTTTACAGTTGAGATAGTTACTAAATGATGTCAGCTCATGATGAGATCCTCCAAGCAATCAAACACAATCCCTACAAAACCACTGCCTGAAAATTAATTAATATAAGGCTCACTGGCGACTGGTCTTATTCAGGCAATGATCTGGGATTCTATTGGGAAGCCTTGACCAGTAGGATACAGAAAGTCAAAGGTGAGGCAGTAACTCATCCAAAAAGATATTGGCTGCTGGTCGCGCTATATATCATGAGTTGGCAGAAGTTGGAATTCATGGTCTGGCTAGCCATTGGATCGTGTCCCAGTGGCTGATGACTAGTCTAAGAGCTTGCTAACCTTGTAACCGGAAGGTTGTGGGTTAGAGCCCCATGGTGTGGTTGTGTACTGATGAGGAGTCCCAAACTGCGCGGACGAAACAGCTAGTTGTCCAGTACTCCTTCGTGGTTTTCCAATGGTTCTCTTACTGATGTCAGCTCATGATGAAATCCTCCAACCAGTTAAATTTCACTTGATTCGTATGGCCAATGGACGAGGTTCCTATTGACTTAGGTGAGATTCAAAGTCAGTTAAGATATGGATGTCATACTGAATTAGTAGATTATTGTGTGCGTGACCATGATGCGTGTAGTTTGAATTAGTGTGAAAGCCACAATTAGCTTCAATCTTTACATCGTTGAGATTAAACTAACTTTGTAAACTCACAATTATTGTAGATAGCCTAGTCACATCAATAAATACTTAATAGCCAATTGAGGAATTTAGACATACCTTCCCTTGAAGTGGCTGCATTCAACTGACTGAGACTTATGCACAAGATGTCATCGTCATATTCAGACAACTTTCTTCATTCTACATCTTTAAGGAATGAATTTTCAACTGTCAAATTTTATAATTGTTAAGTTTCAAGTGCTGAATAAAATCTGTCAGCTGGATGTGAAATATAACGATCAAATCAACTGACACACAGTTGCCGTCTAATATTTTATGATGCTCACCAGACAAGGATGTAGTCGGATTTACTAAATACACTGCTATGGGAGTCAGTTTTTGTGAATAACACCTGTACACTGTACGGAACCCTGTCTTAGAGGAAATCAGTGGTAATCAATTCGCTCAGTACTTGTCATCCAATCGATTCACGTAGATCAGAAAGTCTCCTACGCCTCTGTTATAGTTAACCCTTTCTTATACTACTGATCATTATATAAGTCAGTCAAGAGGCATGCTTCACTTGCATTGAACCCTATTAGCTTGTAATAAAAACATTACCATTATTTCTATCGTTCTGTTGTGTTTTCTATTCATTTATATTTACGAAGTCACTTTCAAAAGTCTGCAATTCTACGAGAGGGAAGACAACACATGCCGATAAAATTTAGTGAAGTGATATTTCAACGCAGAATTCACCTCGAAAATTCATACCTTTATTCTAAAGCAAACCAAACCATAACGGACATCGTTGACAATTTCAAAGCGATCATCATTTATCAATAACTGTTCAAAGAACTTCGCCAATTCAGCGTGCTGAAAAGAAAAGAAAAAAAATTACAGAATATGATTTTATATTATGGGAGTAATTTGAGTCAATAAATATTTCACCAATGTAGACTTCTTCATATGCCGTGGAGAAAATAGTTTGTCATTGTAGATATTAGTACTACTGAGCCAACAGGAAAGTATGAAGTATATTAAATCTGAGCATTTATTACTTTAAGCAGAAATCAGTTGATCCCCACTAATGATTCACTGAAGAGTCACCTTGATATGCACAGCAAAGTGAAATAATTGGCGAATAGTCTTCAATGGATTAGGATTCAGTATGCTGATGAATGAAATCCATATAGTGTTTTGAGAATTTTTGTTTTGAACTAGTGTCAGAGTAAACAATGGAAACAGATTGTAAGCTGGGACAGAATTTTCGGCAGTTCTTCAATGTTTTATCAGTTTACTTCTAATCGATGTCAGTTTACAGCATCAATGAACTTCTAGTTGAGTACTTTGTCTTTCTAATTCCCAAGTGAGTATATTTAGTCGATTCTGTAAGAATTACTGAAAATTTACATGTATATTAGTATTTAACTGGTGGATGGTGACTAGCAGTGGAATCCAGGGATAACGCGCATTTCATCCTGTTTGGGATTCGTCAACTGGACGCACCTGTATTTCTCAGTGAGTGATGATGTTCCCACCGAGGCTAGCCATCATCCACCAATTAAATGTCCAGACATCGTCGAAGCATCTGCACAAGAAGCTGACATATCAACCTGAGACCAAGCACTTCGGTCCAATCAATCGACGGGAAAATCTCAAATTCAATTAAAATTATATGTAAATTGATATGTTATTAGTAATTTCCATAAAAGTACAAACTCTGCTCACTATTAGTGCCAAGAGATGAGCAACACAATGATCACACAGTTTTTGCCTGGGTTGAGTTACTGTCTGGAGACCCAGATCAAAGCAAGTCGTCGTCTTAAGGGACCACTCCCGAGCTTTTGGTATGGAGTGTGGTCCACAAGTCAGTGGAGCGGCGTCAGGAGGTACGTTCTATGGTTGCTCATGACTAAAACAAGCTCATATTCCATTCGAACCTTTCGGATTCTGGAGAACAAGTACACCGTAGGTTTGTAGTCATGGTTTTCTGGTACTCATGTGTAGACTTCCATGGAGTTCACAATCATCTCTAAATTTTTGTGAGGAACACCTAGCAGGGGCTTTGAACGTGTAGCCACATGAGAACAGTTCGAGATTAGGCCGAAGTCTACCCACCCTCTGTATTACCACGTCGTTTAAGAGGGTGTCGAATGATATGAGACAATACAGGGAATAGAAAGAGTAAGAAAATGCATGATGAAAAACAAGATCCCCATTATTATGTAGAATACATATAGAACCATCAAAATTCAGGAGAAATGGCCTTCTGTCTCCTCCTATTTCGAACATCTCTGTACCGCTTATCAGTAGGTATACAGCCATCAGGTTTCAAGACTGACACACTGCCATTCAACTAATGAATCGGAACTCATCACTATGCTATTAGTTATTCTTGTTCAAACGAATGTCAGCTTATGTGTGACTGTATTATTTGAATCCATTGCCTCTTTGAATTGAACATGTTTATTGACTTACGCCTTCTGGTCGATATAGAATTATTATTGGAATTCTTAATCCTTTAGTGTGATTTGAGACTATGAATTCTAGTTAGTCCACACTACAGATATTAGTTCGTGATTTTCGTCGTAAAGGGAATGGTACAAATATATAGTGTAGAGTTGTGCAAAACAGAGTCTTGTTATCCAGGGACTGACCATATTTGAAGTCTGGTAGAATAGAGTGTAATCAATACAAGGGTAATAAGCAACCACACGGACTAAATATTCACCATCTACAAAGTGAATACTCTCAGCCTAAGCGTTTCTAATAAAATAATGTACAGTTTTGTGCCATTTTTTTAAATATCTTTACGTTAACTTACAAAACGTATTAAATTGCGTAAATTCTTAAGTCCATACAATCGTAAAACAAACCATAGTTTCAAAGCTCGAAAATTTCGACCGAGTGACAATCCCCAATTCTGAAAATTGAAAAAGATAAAGCACAGTTACTACCTCTGAAAACGTATTGAGGTGAAGCACAAAATAAGTTACATGTATTTACTTGATAACAACCAAATCAGTCTAATCTCTTAGCGTGATGTTTGTGCCTTGAACAGATTGGTACAGAAGCTTTGATTTCACCAGGTGGTGGAGGAGTGGTGACAACATGCTCCAAGCAACCCGTCGAGTGGAACCTAAGCGCGAATCAATGAGTCCGGCGTCCGACAGTGATGTGGAGGACGATATGAGGGGTTACGGATGACCGTAGAGCCAGTAAAAGAAGACCACAGAGAGCAGGATGAATCCCCATATGACACTCGGAACCCGAAGGACTATCAAAAATACTTTGTGAAGCAAGTAAATTCACACGTTGTCGATAAGTTCTACCAATCAAGAATCCTAAATTTAAGGCCTCTTAAGGTATTAATATGTTTGATATTTGCCTGTTAACGAATTTTACACACACACTCAGCATTTTTGTCTATAGAAGTTGATTATGTTAGGTCAGTCAGTCAAATCATCTGCGCTACTGATCTTTCGATGGCGGATATTAAAGTGTTATCATTACTGGCGTATAACACAGTATAATCTCTACTATGCATCTGTGATTCCCGATGTTACTGAAATAATCTCATACAAGTTAGTGACACAATACGTCTTCAAATTCTTCTAAACCCAATAACATCTGCTCTTTGGGGTTAATTATACAACTCATATGAACTGTGATCAAGATTTGACCGAATAGTTGCAAAATAATTGGGCGCCGAGTGAGAAGTAGACATTTGTAAAAAATTATATTTGTAAAATCTCAGCGAAATTGAAAGGAGTAATTCCAATGTTTCGTTCGGTAATCTGATCCGAACTTCTTCAGGAGAATTAATCGAAATTAACATAACAGAGGTTTATATATAAAAGGAACATCTCTTGTTTTTGAAACTTTGTCCAATCATGAGCCATGAAACAGGCATCAACGTGTATAGTAAACCTTACGCTCTTCAGTGGTGAAGGTTAAGGATAAAATAGTACAAGAAAACCAGCAGAATTGTGTATACAAGATGAATTGTGGGGACTGTAACGACGTATATGTAGGAGAAACTTCCAGACAGGTAAATAAATATGAGTGAAAGAGCATAAACAATGTCTAGAGGTGGTTGGTTCCAAAGACCTCTGCAGACTTGAAGAAACTAGAAGACAACTCAGCGATTGCATTGCACTGCATTCAATAGAAACGGGACACAAAATCGACTTTGGTAAGACTGAGGTTTTACAGAAAGGTTTTGGTTCATATAAAGAAAGACTGACTGCAGAAGCTTTTCATATATGAGTGAATCCCAACAATTTGAACAGGCGTGAAGGTGTGATGTTAGCTGATACGTGGCAAATCCTGATTAATAAATAAAAATTGGATATGTATCAACAATCAGTCATATTTGGTCAGAATTCCCGATTGTTTACGTCTTCTTATGGAGAGGCTAACAAATGTGTTCACCCACACACACACACACCATTGTATACTGCACATACACATATATTTTAAAAAAGGTAGACTAATAATTATAATAAAGGTTTTTGTATTTCCCAATGAATGAAAAACAATATCGTTTTGTTTTTCATTCATTGGGAAATACGAAAACCTTTATTATAATGAATATCATATACCCAATACCCAAATTTTTTCAAACTGTTAAAAGTAGACGAATTTTGAAAGTCTGAAGTCAAAATTTTGATCACAGTTCATACAGTTTTGTTTACTATATATGTTGATACCTGTTTCAAGACTCATAACTGGACAAAGTTTCAAAAACAAGAGATGTTCCTTTTATATATAAACCACCTCTGTTATGTTAATTTCGATTAATTCTCCTGAAGAAGTTCGGATCAGATTACCGAACGAAACGTTGGAATTACTCCTTTCAGTTTCGTTGAGATTTTACAAATATAATTTTTTAATGACACAACCTAGTTACTTGACATTCTATGCCTTGAAACCTGCTAGAATACGAGTGACGTCATATTGTCTTGTGATGCTAAATCAATATGGTGATTAACTCAGATAAACGTTAAAAGTGACGAAGAATAATAAGTTTTACAGGATATTTTGTCATTTAGAATTATACAGAATTCTTATAAGGCAGAAATAAAATTATTCCTAACAGATTTTCCTCTGAGCTATAATTCGAAGTTATTAACTGATAGGACTCAGCATAAAATAGTATATCCCCCTGTCTCACGATTCGTGTGATTTATCTTGTGTTGGAGTTACTATGTGAATGTATCATTTCTCACACACATTGTGATTCGATGTGTGAGATCAATTCATCATGTTTTTTCTCACTTTGGTCTTTGTCGGATTGCCAAACAATGATAATAGATATTTCCAGCCAATAAGACCAATCCATTCTCACGGTTGTGAGCCGACTTTATTATACTAAAGAAAATATACAAATATGATGTCTTGTTTCCTAATAGATGCACATACACTACAGTATCTTACAGTCACAGGCCAGCGTTTGTCTTCTGATATTCGCATGGCTCAGTGAATCGGAAGGTAAACGGACAAATAGACGTATTAGTGTATCACTTGAGTTCATTACCGTTATAGTAATTAACAGACGCAGATATAACGAATTAACAATAGATTTATTCAATTCAGTTCAGTTATAAGAAATTAGCGGTGGGTCAGTTCCGTTTAGTTATAGCAGTAACCTCATGGATTGATGTCACATCTGTTACTAGGTATACCTTTCTAACTTGCTTCTATTCAATGCAGTTTCATACCTAACATGAACCGTATCTGGGAGTGCGTTATGTTTCCATAAGACAACTCCATAATTTTTACCAGCGGGCTATTGTTATCTCTTCGGGCATCTGCATTAATCATCATAATCACGTAAAATGTGGTCCCATAAAATGTTATCACGACTTAGCAGACACTAATGGGTGAGAACACATAAAGTTTTAATGTCAGCCTCGTTTGGCATCGGCATCCTATCTATGCCTTTCAATTAAAAAAGATAGAAATTGTCGTGTGAGATCTACACCCTCTGATGAGCTCTTAGGTGTCTTTAAGTGTAAAACAATATGTATAATTTCATTCACCATCATAAGTGTAGAATTTATGAAACTGTTGATATGTGTAACAGTCGTGAGCATGAAAATGAACTAAATATATGTTCACCAATTGTACTCTGATAGGCAGAAGATATTAGGTGTGTTATTGATTCATCCAAAGACTCTGAGAATACTATGAAGGTCTTATCGATATACACGAAATCCTCAGCCATTCTATACAGAAAGGAGTCATAAAATACTGTGATTACTGGAGTTCTTCATATTATCTAGTCACTGTATCAATTTAAGAACAACTGCACAACTTCAAGATCAGAAATGGATAGAAAGTTGATTCGAAATCAATAAAACTTAAAGGCTTTTGATTTAGTTGCGTTCTTCGAGCTGGATGATTTAAGTGCGGAGCTTTCGTTATCCTTATAGACACCATCTTCGGAGAACGCTTTATTATGAAGTGATAAAATGATCAGCAGAGATGTAAATTAACAACCAATCATGACAGAGGTTATCAGAAGATACAATTATATCATTCATGGAGAGTTCAAAGAAATTCATTTCATAATACAGCTTGCTCTGTAAATGTCTAGAAGAACAACGAAAGCCTTACAATTAAATTAACCAGCTCTGAGGACATAGCTAAATCAAAATCACCTACCTGAACTACAAATCTCCATTATTTCAAAAACTTCAGGGATATCACTTATCTAACAGAATATTTGTGCTTTCTTCACGGGAACTTGATAGTGAAGAATATTTTCAAAAAGTTTAGAGGAAGAATTCTTGATCCTCAATAGAATCTTTGCATAGCTCCTGTTAGCTTATTTGTTAGTTTAAAAGTACTCTGACTGAATTGAAGTCTGAGAGCGGAACAATTTTTTCCAAAGCCAGAAAATTAATCTATTGGTTGTTCATATAACAGATAACTCAATAAAAGAGAAAGGTTAGTGCTGACGAACCATTCAAGGGATAAGGTATCATCTGGTGGTCTAGTGCTAATTATGAGACCTAATAAATCGGAAAAGCAAGACAAGCTTTCATTACTCTCAAATCTGTGTGGAGGTCAACAGCAATCAGCATCAAAAATAAGATCCGGATTTTCAACTCCAATGTGAAGTCAGTGCTACTATACGGATCAGAGACTTGGCGAGTCACAAAGAGCATCTCAAACAAACTTCAAACCTTCATTAACAACTGTCTCCGCTCAATACTCAAGATCAGATGGCCAGAAAAGATCAGCAACAGGGATCTCTGGGAGCGAACCAATCAGGAACCGATTGTGAAACAAATAGGCAGAAAGAAATGGAGATGGATTGGCCATACGCTGAGGAAACCATCAAGTGACATCACTAGACAAGCCCTCGAGTGGAACCCGAAAGGGAGGCGGCGAGTTGGTCGTCCAAGGGTAACTTGGAGGAGGTCATGCGAGGAGGAGATGAAAGCATGTGGACAGACCTGGAGCAGGGTGAAAAAGTTGTCAGAAAACCGAAGTCAATGGAGGTGCGCAGCTGAAGCCCTATGTTCCTCTAGGAACTAAAGGATACAATAATAATAATAATAATAATAATAAATCGAAAATGAATGTTAACACTGAATCTGATGACGTGATATCACAGTTTTAAGCATTAACAACAGAGAGATATAGAATATGGAATCGTGTGATATTACTGAAATAAGTAGTTTTCCAGAAAACTAAACAGTAAAAGTAGTCTGACCAAATCTTCTTTCCGATTTGTTCCTATTTAACTAGCAAAATCAGAAAAAATGTACTGCGCTATCGTGACACTTCTCTGAAATAATAATTAATATGACTGGTTAGAGGATTTCATCATGAGCTGACATCAGTTAGAGGACCATTGGAAAACCAGCTGGACAGCTGTTTCGTCAGCCTAGCTTGGGAGTCTTCGGCAGTACGCACCGACACCATGAGAGTCGAACCCATGACCTTCTCGTCACAAGGTTAGCGAGCTGGTAGACCATTAAGCTACAGGGACCCTACCCAATAGCCAGCCAGACCATGAATTCCAACTTCTGCCGATTCATGACATAGCGCGACCAATAGCCAACGTCTTCTTGGATGAGTTAACGCCTCACCTTCAACGTGCTGTACCCTACTGATCATGTTTCCCTCTAGAACCCCAGGTTAAATGCATGAATAGGGTCAGTCGCTATTGAGCAGTGGGCAGTAACTCCTCGAAGAAGACACTGCTAAGTGGTCACGCCATGTAGTGAACTGGTAGAAGTTAGAATTCGTGGGTAGACTGGCCATTGGATCAGGTCCCGGCGACTCAATGGTCTGCGAGCTCGCCTTATGACCAGGAGGTCCTAAGTTTCAACCTCATGGTGTGAGTGCGTACTGCAGATGAGTCCCAAACTAGATTGACGAAATAGCTGGCTGTCCAGTGCTCCCAGCTGGTTTTTCAGTGGTTTGCTAACTGATGTCAGCTCATGATGAAATCCTTCAATCATTCAAAGTAAATCCCTGCAGAAACCAAAACTTGAAAATAATTCATATTATTTGAAGGGTAAGGGAAAAGAGATGCAATGATGGGATCAAAAGGAATAGGATGGTAGTGAATCAAACAGTAATTTACACATAATATACAATATAAGTCATGAAATTAATCTAAAACCTTTTTTACAAATGACTGCAATTTACTTACACGGAAATCTGGCATCCCTTCATAAGAATGCCTCAAATAAACTGGATTGGCACTGAATGCATCTGATATCACATGATGATCACGTAACCAGAAAAGTGAACAGTCGAAATTAGTGAGTATCATTTTGTGAGCGTTGATGTTAATTGAATCCGCCAGCTGTAAATGATTAAAGGAAGAGTTACTGCGGTATACAACCAACGAAAACTAAGAATTCCTTCTACTTAAATATTTAAATTTCTGTGCGGAAACTGACCATAATGGTGAAGTACCTCCTATCTTGATAGATTTTAAAAAGTGGAAATACATAATGAAAATGGCTTTATTCCAAACGGTTATACACCTGACGGTCCTGTTGTCAGAGAAAGTCATTACTACAAATGTGTTCAATAACCACTTGAACAGCTGTCTGCTTATTTGTATGTCTAAATAACCGTCTCTCTGTTAGTGTCTCTATCTACCGACCTATTTATCAGTCTTTCTATGTATCACTGTTTCGTGTTCAATATATTTTCATAAGTGCTATTTTGTGGATGGCGGCTAGCAGTAGAATACAGGATGCGTATTCTGTCCGGTTTGGATCTCGTCGGCTTGATGTAACTGCACTCCTCTGTGACTGATAGCACCCCACTCAGACTCGAACTCAGTACCTTTCATCTCAAATGCCAAAGCTTTTCTATCAGACCACTTGAATTTCTCAGTATTTTCAAGTAGTTTACTCTCGTTTTCGATTTTTCCACTATTCATTTTGTTTACACATATTATAAACATTCATTTTGTATTTTTTTTTATTGTGTCACGTAAGTGAAGTAAACATGTAATTGGTTTCTGGAACAGGGTTATGCTTTAGTGCTAGCTCTATTTTGAATATATATGACATATTTTATCAGTAACTGGCTAAACTGTATTCACCTCAATACCATTTGCAAAGTGTCGAAATTCAGGGCAAAGCAGGGCACTGCCTCCATAAGCTCCGTCGACGTGAAACCAAATGTTGTACTTCTGACCTGAAATTAAGGACAAAATAAGTTGATAAGAAAAAGAATAAAATCATTAACGTTGTTAAGGTTATGAGTACTCATGAGATGTTATTTGCTCTAGTAACCAACCAGTGATTAATTTTAGTCTGCAATATGTCACATTTTCCAGACATGGTCACTAAAATGATCCGATATAAAAAAAATTGTAGAGTTTGGTGACAAGTTTGATGGAATCGAAATTTTAATTGACCTTGAAATCGCTAGTATAGCGTTAGACAGAGAAATAAACGTGACGAAGCTGACTCTAAATTCTAATCGACCTAAGTGGATAGGAGATGTGCTTCTCACTTAAATCCACTGTATTTCTAGGTCAGCCGTATTAACTGAAGTAGGGTTGGAAAAGAAGGAAGTGTATTGTAGGCATAAACCGACAGCGAATCATCAGGTTTGAGGTTGTTGGTCTGAGGCGTATTGAGACTGGGTGGAGTCACGGGATGTTAAGCAACAGTGGCGTGAGGCACTTAGTGATTCATCTCATAATGATTCAAAGTGAATCGGATCTATTCCTTTCTGCTCTTACTATTTTTGCTAAATTATTTTAACCCACACATTCATTCTTGTCATTAAATTTTATCTAGTTGGTATTCTTCAAGGTTCTGTTCTTTCTCCTATTCTATTTCCCTTTTTCTTACATGACTTTGCCCATTATGACGAAGTCACTTTTATTAAGTATGTTCCAAAAGACTGTTCCGAAATGAAATAATTTTTATCAGAAATTAGTTGATGATCCTCTTCAGACGGTTTTAAGCTTAATCCCTCCAAATGTCAGGTGGTTAATTTCACTTTCAAACGCAGGCACGATTTACATGAACTGGTTAGTTCGCACAGTCCCACTATCACAGACGGCACTGAAGTTGAAACTACGTCGGATGTTAAATACCTTGGACTGTGTATTTCCTCTGATCACCTTTCCTGGTCTTCCAACATCATGTTAGTTTTCAGAAAGATATTTTGCTTGACATTCTGTGTAAGGGGGTTGAAACGATCTGGAATCATTTCGTCTCTACTGTTACCATTTGTTAATTCTTGTATTCTGCCTATACTTCTTTACTGTTCCTCCTTAAATCTTTCCCTGGGTTACTTAAGAAAGACTTCGTTATACTGCGTAGGGCACTAAAAACCGTCAGTAGGGTGAGTCGGGTATTGCTAAACCAACTCGTTGATACTGTTGTAGATAGACACTTAGATTCCTGCAAGAAATTAGCAAATATTAGCCTGTCAGACTCTGAACATCCTCTCCATACACAACTCTCTCCTTGATGGATCTCATCAGATAGGGGAACTAGAAGCAACTATAAAAGACTATCTGCTCGGATGACTAAGTACAAAAACCCTATGATATCTTATTTAGCACATATTTTATATGGTGAGAAAAATGTGTGTGTGTTTGTGGCAGGAAATTACCAACTTACTGAAGAACTCTAAGTAAACGGCATTGTTACTCTTGCTCTCATTATTACACTGTCATTAGTATTTTCACTTGATTTAATTTTACATTCACTTCTTATTGAACAATATTATAAATGTGAATGCCCTATTATATATATCCAAACCAAGTTCACTTTTAACGGTTTGAAAAAATTTGGGCATTGGGTATATGATATTCATTATAATAGAGAAAATGCATTCCGAAAACATGGACTTCAACAGTCGTCATTCCATATAGAGCAGAGACATCAGACGATATCAGAAGAGTACTTAATCAACTCGACATTAGAGTTTTCTTCAAAACATCGGACACACTTCAAAACAACCTTGTCCATATAAAAGACCAAATCCCGAAAGATTCTCTATCTAATTGCGTCTACAAAATAAAATGCTCGGAATGTGTTGCGATCTACATCGGACAAACATCTCGAGAAATCAAAATCAGAAGAAATGAACACCGTAGAACTTCTCTTCGACCACCAAGAAATCCAGTTGAACTGGAAAAACTTCAAAAATCATCAGCCATAGGTCTACATGCTATAGAATCAGGCCACAAAATTGATTTTGATAATATTGAAATAATCCAGAAAAACTTCAGAAACCACAAAGAACATCTAATATCAGAAGCACTTCATATCAAGTGGAATCCAAATTGCCTGAATAGGAATGATGGACTGAAACAGAATCTAACCTGGCTACAACACCCTCCCCCATGAAGTAGCAAAATCAACGCAAATGTGGTGAGCAAGTTCACTATGTAAACGCACACTACTTTCATAATTCTACACACTGACAAAATCCAACAATCTACACTTGGTTTTACTATCTTTACCAGTTCGCTAACTTGACAACAAAAAAACGACCCAGACTGATGAATGATGATCAAGTATTTCACAGCCTACACTTAGTTTAGTTACCTTTACCTACTCCCCAACATGACAACCAAAATGACCCCAGAGTAACGAACGATGATCAAGTTAGTAAACTTTATTTTGATATAATAACAGATATACTATTACCTTTGATATTTGGTTTGAACGATCTTCATTGTTATTTTGACTTTCAGTATGTCCTTTTAAGTTGAACTAAGTCTATATTTTTCTCACCCCCTAATTCTTTGTTATATATATGCTGAGATTTTGTAAATTCCGGTTTAATAATACTTTGAGAAAGCTATTAGCATTAAATAGCGAAACGTCAGTAAAAACAATCTCGTTTTGTTTTTTCATTCATTGGGAAATACAAAAAACCTCTATTATAGTGAATGCCCTATTTTAATTATTGCCCTTATAATGAGAAAGTTACACGCAATACTGTATTACATGCTAAAAACTCCCTATTTGTACCAAAAATACTGTTATCATTATCATTCATTATCATCATGTCTTCAATTTTGTATATGGATTCCAAATGCTGAAACCTGAGCAGATATACTTCTGTGTGGCATTCCTCATTGACTTGTTTTATCATTCGTGTGATAAATGGTGAATGTTCTTGTAAGTGATTATTCTATCAGCCTTATGATATGTTTACTAATTATTTATGTATGTTTATATGAATGTTGGGAAATTACATCAAGTATTTGAAATTCTAGTAGCTTAGCTACATGTTCGATTCTTTTATTCGTCAAGCAGAATAATATTCCACTTAAAGCTGGACCATGGCAAAACAATCAACTACAAATGAACGACTGAAAATTACGATCAAGTGGGAAGGCAGTTGACTTTGATGGATGACTGTACACTTTTACAAACAATTTTCCAGTATATCTCAAGAAATGGTTTACCTATATTATTTTGACTTATCGAAACTAATGTATTTTTCAAAAGAATGTTTACTGAACAAAGAATACTCTTTTCGATAACCTCGTTTTCATAAAGTTCTACAGTTATACATACATAGTAGTGAATGAATAAATTAGTGTTATTAACGACGTTAATGTTGTTTTTAAATAACATCGAATCAACAATAATATCAACAGATTACAGTTCAATAGCATCAATATAACAATACATCGAATATCAGAAAAATTACGAAAGATAATAATACTGATTCATGCATTTATAGTCTCCACTGAACGCTGGCCAGGGAAGTATTTGTGGCCGGACTTGCTTCGTTTGCACACAAAGCACTGGTTGTTTCACGCAAATCGCGATAGCCTCTGTTGTTTGGAGCATGCGGTACCTTAATGTTTTTAGCGATTGTTTTGGTACCCGGTAGATGATAGAGAAGGATGCTTCAATTCTGGCTTTGTGGCTGGCCGGTTTGAACCAGGTGATCTAGTATCGAAATGCTGATAGTTTTTACTATATCTTTACTCAGCCACACTGGTAGAAGTTCCTGAGCAGGAAAATCAGGTCCCTAGAGGAAAGGCTAATATGACTCACTTCATAATCGCAGTTGAATCGGTAGATACGATTGGAAATGGCTAGACTAGGTGCTACATCTTTCAACTGAGGAATCACCATCGATCTTGTGGAGAATGGGACGCTTAGTGTGCCAGCATTGAAAGTTCTTTGAATTGATTTTCTTAATTCCTTCATAATTATTTCACTAGGTATATCGCCCTTGAATATCAGTCGTATGTATAAAGGCTACTTGTTTAGGGATAGTGAGTAGTCCTTTTCAACTTTCTTAGTCATATATTTCCTGATGAATTTGTCTGGATAGCTATTTTTCGATCAAGGTATCATATAAAATCCTTAGTTCATCTTCAGTTACCTCTTCTGAGCTATAGCTGTAACACTGTGACTGAGGGTCTTTACTAAATTTCTTTGTACTGGAGAGGAACGAAGCTGTGAAAATGTGTCTATTGTTCTGTCCATGTGCTTTTCCTATGCAAATTTCTCCTTATACTAACATCTGGTTTCCCTGTAAGAAGGACATCTAGGAAGGCAATTTATTCTTCGCACGTGAATTTTATAGCAGAATGTATGTCATTGAATTCAGTTATCATTGTGTTCCTGTCTGAATTATTTTCACAAAGAGTGAAGGTACCATCCATATATCGACAATAAAATGGAAATTTTATGATAAGGTTGTTCAAAGGTCCATTGTCTACTTAAATTATAAAGAAACTTGCCAAATTGGGACACAAATCCACCGTATTTCACGGATTTGTGTTAGATGGGAAAAGTTTTTTTAAATAGGATCAATAATTAACCATTATCATTTACTTACAGATATTACCGATTGCCTGAAGATCTTCAAATTCACATGTTGATGTAGTCCCCAATGTTGCTACACACTACGGGAAAATATTGTCAAAACATATTATGAGAGAATACAGAGTTTTTTAAAGGCAAATAACTTTACGAATAATATAAGGATAATAATAATCATTTTATTCCAGACCGCTATAATTAGAAAGAATGAAATTTTAAGCGTTTTATACATACCGAGACAATTCGTCTCCTTTAATAAATATATGAATACATTATTTTTTGGCTGGTCACTAGTCAGTAACCAGTGTAATGTGTGTGGGTGTGGATACCTATCTTTGGTATAGACTGAACTCTATTAGTCAAGTTTACAATGTGGCCACCAGGCCACTAGGTGGCTTGCAACCACGGTGCATTGTGAATTGTTGGTAAAAGATGGTTTGAGCCAATCGGCTACAGGAAGCCTTTGATTTAGGTCTCATGCTAGTTGGCACTCACTAGTCAGCAAGGCGTATCTGAAACCTCAAAGGAACTCATATCCCTTTTGAGATTCGAACCCGTGTTCCCCAGTGATGCAGTCAGAGGCGCCCCCACCACTGAGCTATTCAGGCTCTTGATTGACCTTCTCCTGAATACATTTAAGTGTAAAAGTAGTAAAACCAGGATGATCGAAAGTTAGCGGAACACAGTGAATAATAAATAAGTAATATGTATGATAATAATAATCCTTGTTATATTTTGCGATGTATTTACTGATTTAAAAATTTTATAATCTGAAAAGCACTTTTCAACTTCTTTTATTCATTCCCATCGTTCTGAATGGATCATAGGACTTCAAGTTTTGAATTTTCAGAGGCGGTAGTGTTATTTATTCATAGTAGATTTGCTAGCCTCACTTCCAGCCTTCCTTTTTTTTCTGGACTTATTGACACCTTCGTGGTTGAGCAATACATCTGTGAGGAATAGAAATCGGACCACTTGTTCAGCTGGTGATCTTTTCACCATTTTGAGATTGAAGAGGCATATGAAGTGAATTTTGAAAGTTGCAACAAGTGTCCACCTAGCCATATCAATGTTAGCGGTTAAATGAACAACTTTAGGGAAAGATGTTTAAACTGTTGATACTGACATTCCCCCCCCCTTAATCTCCAGTTCATGAACTCCAAATGAAATCTGATATGTACATCAGTTCAGAAGAAGCTTTCAATTTAATTCAACTTCGTGTGTTTTTACAAGTATGCCTACTCCTGTAAATTTGATTATACAGGCCATACATAAATGAAGCTGTGAATGTGAGTTTCACAGCTGTGTATGTCTTGGCTACTACAATAAGAGTGCAAACTAGTTATTTTTCAATTCATTAAATAACTTATTTCCAACTACGGATCTGAAATAACCATTACCTGAAAGCGCCTATGATGAGGAATCAAAAGTTCTATAAGACTGGTGAGTTGACAATTTGGTAACGGTATGTAGAAGACCTATGGAAGACTTAACAATTTAAGCTTGAATCTCGTATACACTGTTGTGTTTTGTTATTTGGTGGTGTGTCCTATTGACAATAGCTTTACGTTCTCTTTCGTAGGGTTATACGGATGATTCTTAGAGTAGTATTTGAAAGTAAATCGCTAACCAGTATTCAACACTGGCAATCAGCTGACACAAGGGTTGGCCAAGTTTGAATTTTTTAGTTGTTAATACTGGTTAGCAAGATATCAATAGCTACAGACAATTTTAGATGAGCTATACAACTGGATTAAACAGTAAAAGTTAATTAAAACAGCAACAATCCAGGAACACATAAAAAGAGTTGCATACAAACATTATTCAAGGGAGCCAGAACTCACTGCAGCACCCTTACCTTAAGGAAAATTGAAGGGAAATATCTCATGAAGGTCTTTCAAAAGAATGAATATCCACGCAACTACATCAAAAGACATCTACACCCAACCCAACCTACCAAATCAAAGGTACTCAAAGAAAATCATCTTACCAAGTGTAAAAAACCTCTCTTAAATCACTTTAAGACTCTCCAAGCCTTTACGAATTGATATCGAAGACAAATCAATAATATCACTTCACTTGGCTTACTCTGCGTCAACCAAAAGACTCAACAACGAAAGAACATAAAATCAACATCTACAAAATAAATTTCAATGACTATGAAAAACACCACATTGGTCAAAGTGGATGTCCTCTTCGTTTTCATATTCATGATCATAAACTAGCAGTCAAAAGACAAAACAGCAACTCTGTCATTTCACTGCATACATACAACCACGGACATCAATTCGACTGGGACAACGTTCAAGTATTAGACAGAAGAAACACCAAGAATGCTAGAGAATTTTCAGAAGTCTGATATTCCAGTGAATTGGCAGTCAATAGACACATTGACATACACAGAATTTACCAATCGATAAGAAGGAAATCTCACATACAAAGGGTCAAACTTCAGGTCAAAGAAACAATCAGTTCCAATACAAGTAGTCTAGGGGGAGTGAAAACATACAAAAAACAACCAATCACGTTCAAGTTCATCCACCAGGATAGATGACTATTAATCTTGTGGCGAAATCTAAAAGCAACAAATTGACGTATGCGCTGAAGGTGTTGCCTAGTTTTGGAGCAATGAAAGCTTCGTGAATAAACCATCCAGCTCAGAGAACACAATTACATCAAAACGGTGAAAGTCTGTCTCTTGAGTCATTAGTAGAGATCTAAATAAACCTGTCTCCAATACCAATACATATGAACGTACGACTTCACAGCTTTAATTGCAAGTATTGCCAATAGAATGAAAACAAGCCCTTGTTATGCTTAACTGAATTCTTCAGGAATACTGATGACAGTTCTCCAGAACTTAATGAAAAGCTTTCCCAATGAGATAATGAAGGAGATTTTCATAAACACATTTAATTTACCTCAGGATTCGAAATAATGCCTTTCAAATACTTCTGTACCTCTTTCTGCTGCCATCATTATCCCAATTATCAAAACGACTCTCTTTCTCAAACAACATCAGTAGAAATTATTGATTGTGATTGCTGTTTATCTTACCAGTAGTGGAATGAGTCCATTGCTTTTATCATTTTCTATAGCATTCTGTAGATCGTCGGGATCGAAAACTAATCGCTTTCCAATTCTCTTTGTCTTGATCACACGACTGTTAAGCATGGCAATGTGAAATGCACGAGTAACAGAACTGTGAGCCTAAATATATTTCACAAAAGTTAAGATTCAGAGAAATATAATTTAATTAGTTCACATTAAATTAAAAATTAAACTGTTTGGAGAAATTAGTTGTATAAGGCAATGGGTCTTTTTGCATTATAGCTACTCCTTCACTTATTTGAGTGGTCTTTAAGGAGTCTCTTGATATAAAAACAATCACATCATTAAATGACATCATCTAGAGAAGGAATATTCATTTTCGAATTAATTCTCTCCTAGCAATATCCAGTGAAATAACAATTCAGTAGTGTTTACAGACAGATTTGTAGACGGTTTCAAATGACTTCAGATTGTGTTTGCATTCTGGGAACAATTATGGATTCAGAGGTTGAATGCTAAGCAAATCCTACTGTGAAGTAACGATCGTTTCTGTTCATTGCTCAGTAATCCCAAATTAAAATGATGCTGCTGCTCAGTTTTCAGCGGTTACCTAGATTATTTAGACTCGTAATGAAAACAATTTTGAGGTAGTAGTTGTCACTGGAGGTGAGAATCTTGACATAGGTTTCTTCTCGGTCAAATACACCTAAGTGACTGTGTTCTTATTGAAATTGAAGTACCTTCCTATTTTACTGAGCCATGTGAGCGCCCTGCTGCATGTGGGGTACTACTGATGAATAAATGTGAGTACTGAAGAAAATAAAAGACAAATTCAGAGAAGAAAATTTTCTTTATCGACGAAATCATCTTCAGAGGCTGTACAGTAGTATTTATGCTTACCAAAAATATATATTGGCCTATTATAGAGTAATAAGGGAACTGGAGTGACTCAAACAAGTCATCATAGAGAATAGATATCCCCCAAAATTTATCGAGAAAAACATGAAGTTAAGGGAAAAGCCTGAAAGAACCTAGAAGGTGCCGAAGAAACAGCCATTCGTGAGCGTCGAATTTAAAGGTGATACCGCAGCTGATATCTTGAAGAACCGCTTATACAGATCACTGAGGAAAGCCTTCTTTATAGCTGAGCTACGTATCAATTTCTACAGCCGAAAAATGATCAATGGATGTGTGAAGGATAAACTGCCACTTTGGGCCACTTCAGTGTGCGTTTATAAATTCATCTGCTCGTGTAGAGCTAGTTATATTGGCCGCACAAAGCGCACACTTTCCAAACGCATCTCTGAACATTATCCGACATGGTTAGTTAGCGAAAGGATAATGCAAGACAATTACTAGCTCAATTCTCGAGCACTGAGTGAACCCATACCACAGAGCTCCACCAGAGTAGTCTTTCAAAGTCATTTACATGGTGATGCCAAGTGGTAAAAAGGGCGTAAGGTTTCTGCTTTTGTGTACGGCGGAGGCGCTGGCAATTCGTCAATACAACCTCGAACTCTGTATACAGAAAACGCTTGTCCAGTCTCTTATTCTGCCTTGGTCTTAACCTCTTCACTAATCGTAATCCCTGTAAAAATTTGTTGATTTTTTCTTTTGTTTTTAATTTTACTTTTAGTTTGCTTTTGCTTTTAATAAGTAATTCACTATTATCAATTTCATATACTCCTTTTGCATATTTTCACACCCTCTTTACGCTTGTTAAATTGACACTCAAATACCACCTTTATTCTCGCTCAATAGCTATTTTAACCCTATCAAATTTCTACCTTTGTACCGCTGAGTACCACGTAATTTACAGCTTTTAGGTTTCACTTCTATAGCCACTTCTGCGTAATCATATCAATTATGTCACCCCCTACTCTATTACTCAATAATAGACCACTATATATTTTTGGTAAGTATAAATACGACTGTACAGCCGAGTCTGAAGATGATTTCGTCGATAAAGGAAATTTTCTTCGCTGAATATGTCTTTTATGTTATTCATGACTCAATGGATATTTTCGGTGAAATGTGAGTACGTCGAAAAAATGAATTAGCTTTCACACGACGAAACGAAATTCCAAAAGCCTAATAACTGGACAGATTTAAACGGAAAGGCTGAAAAGCAGCTAACGAAAATGGTTTAAGGAATTGAGAAACAGTGGATTGATCTCTGAGGCAGTCTACAGCTTCCTTAAGCCCACTGACATTTATACGTCACGATTGTATGGTTTGTCTAAAGTGGGTAAGCTAGGACTTAACCCTTGTTCAGGCTTCATTTTTTTAAACCTTATTCCTTTACCTTCAGCATGAAACATACAGCTTCAAGATGGGGCTTTGAAGTTTTGGTAGCAGTGGTCTCATTTTTACGGGGTGGGTTTACCGAGCTTACTATCGGCCAAGTGAAGCTATTAAACAAAAAGTGGCGAACCATAACATTAAAGACGCATTCGGATTCATTTCCAGTCTGTACAGTGTGAATGTGAACGGGAAGCAGTTGTTACCCTTAGATGCTACATCACTGTTTACTAATGTACCACTTATGGAGATTTCAGTATTCATACACGAATAAATACTAGAAAAGAAAATCGATAGTTGGATTTCAATTGTAGGTTTCAGACAGCTGCTTCGAAGATGTACTTAAATGTATTTTTCACATTCAACAAAATCTACTACAGATAGAGCTATCATATCGCTATGGATTGTCCATCAGGTCAGATTTTGTTAGCTTTTCTCGTTGCTGGGCTTCAAAATAGTCCATTGAAACAAGTAGCAAATAAACTGGATTCGTATTACTGTTATATATTGACGATATTTATGGATTTATAACTGTAGAGACTGAGAAAAAAGTTATTGAAACCAAATGATCTCTCAAAACCATCTTGTTCTGACTACACTATGAGGACTTTTAATTCACTGAAATATGATGAGCATCCCGTTGCCTTGAAGGTATTCAGTATGTATCTGGAGTATACTACAAAGCTCGCTGAAGTGAAATCGAATGTGGATTTTACCCGGAACTTTGTTGCGAATATTCACTAACCTAAGTCATTTCTTAAATTACCTCGTCGTTGTAAACTACTCCCGAATACTGAATCTTTCAAAAGTTTCGCTCTTATTCAGGTTGAATCTCTACAGTATTACGTCACCATTACACTACCAAACATTACTGTATAACACTGTGAGACTTTATCAAAACAAAAATTTACCCATAATGGAAGTATTTCATCACCACTCTTGAAAAAAATACGTCACAGAAACAGTATTCAATTAGTGAACTTCCCATATATTTAAAGGAATTATTTGTCGATAAAGTCCATGATGTCTCTCAAACTAGAGGAACCAAAATCAAAACACTTGAATCTCATTTTCCCAATGACAAAGAAAGGTATGTTGTTAACTTTTCGAGTGTTGCTTCAGATAAGACGGATATGGAAGTTTTGTCGCTGGGTCCTTAATTTTGTGACAAAAGGGTTAATATTGATCACTTAGAGATGAGGGTGTGGTGAAATTTGAAAACCTTTTCATTCAAATACAATATTTAATAATGACCTCCAAATGTGAGTTAGGGAAATTCGAGAGTACAACTGTCACCAGTACAGTAGCGCCAAGTTTGAAGTGAAAAGCATATAACCGAAAAAAACATACAGAATGCATCAAAAAGCTAAAGTTGGATGACAGTATTATCATCACTAGACAAGGGTTCGGGCACAGTCATCATGAGTGAATGTAACTATATATCGAAAAGAAGAACGCTTTATTGGAAGATCGTTCCAAGTTTCAAAAGTTTGGTAGTAGTAAAGATTCGAATGAAACTACGGGACGTCAGTTTTCTAAGACTTTGAAGTCTGTAAAAAATGAATATTTCATTGATAGTTCTATATCCAATGTTATTAAACCCTCCGGAACTAATTCACCAAGGCTTTATGGTTCAGTGAAAATCCATTGGCAAGGAGTTCCTCTATGCCTCATTCTTGATTTGTCGATTTCACGATTTTACGTAACAGCTAAATGGCTGGGGAATCTGCTTCAGCCGTTACATCGGGAGTTTGTGAAATATAGTGTAAAAAAGTCTCTACTATTGTTGACAGCATTAAACATATGAACTTAGCGGGAAAAACGGTTTTATCGTTGGATGTAACATTACTATTTACCAATGTCCCCCTGGTTGAAACAGTCGATTATACATCTCAGCAAAATGTAGAGAGAAAAATGTGTATATCGAGATCCCATCTATGGAACTGAAGCAACTGTCACTAATTGTCGTCCTTTTATATTTAACAAGGAGTTTTACCGTCAAATAGAAGAGTTTGCTATGATTTCCCCCCTCCCTGAGTTCTTTATTAGCTGACATTTTCCTAGCTAAATTTGAAAATGGTCCTGTAAGAGAGATGTTACACAAACTTGACTATTATTGCCGTTATGTATACGATACATTCCTCATTTGTGACAATGATTTCGATGAACAATGTGTGAAGCAGGTCATTAATAATATGCACCTGGCAATTAAATTAGTCAACTTAACAAACACATTACTGAGCACTTTCCTTCGTAGTTCGGGAAAGGTCAAATAAAATCAAAAAGAAGCTTTATTTTGTCTCATCTAACTGACAGGGCTCACCAAGAAGCCAGAAGAAATATTTTTAGGGTTGACTATCACACTCCCGAAAATCTTTCAAACGGAATTCGGACTCTTGTTATACACATAGCTGAAGCTATGGCGATTTGGAAGAACAATCCTAGCCTTTCTGTATAAAAGAAGTTTGTTCTACTCTTGTTTGTGCCTTGAATTATATGTATCCACTGCACTAGTTCTTATCTTATCTCATGCTTCACTTCTTTCCTAATTTTATGATATTTAAAATCTGAATATTTCATGAGATTCTGACTGAATGTAGTTATTGAATCAAGCGAACTGTATGTGATAACGTCATATAATCCTGGAAGCTGTGTTGGCGTCGACGCGTCGATACTGGACATCGCGTCAACGCCAGAACAGCTTTCGGGGTTATATACCACCAAATTATTGAATTATTTACATTATCACACTGTCTTCATTTTTTTAATCGCCACCTACTTCAGCTGCTTGCACTCTGGTTATCATTGACCCTATTATCACTATTACTGACACTATAATATTCGTTATTATAACTAACATATTTACAAAATTTAACACTTACTTTCAATGTAAAAATTCACCTTTTCTGGTTAAATAAAACTTTTTACATAAAGTAGTGTACATCGGAGTAAAGTCTGAAGAAAATCTAATTGAAAACACTATTGTTTTAATAAGATGTTTTTAACAATCTAACAGTAAACCATTTGGTCAACACACTGGATGTAATAGCGGTGATTAGGTGTATTTTGATGGAATGATCATGAATACTGCTGGACATTATCAAGTGATTCTAAACATATTCTGTGTCTTCTTTGATGTAAGCCATTCATGAACTTTGGAATTCATGTGGCTGCTATTGGGAGTGTTGAGCTTATTGATTTCCGCCTTCTCAAGTCGATGGTATGAATACATGACTTTTGCTTTGACTGCAGCATTTCATTGATTTCCACTTTTCTCTTGGTTGGTTAGTTTCCTATTGGGGATCTGTGCTTTGAAGTTATGTTCACGTGAATTCTCGTATCGATTTCTCTCAAAGTATCATGGTGCAACAAGATTCATTTCTGTTTAAGAACTTTCCATTCTCAATATCGTTAAGTCACCCCATCATCGAAAGTGACCATTATTATGTGAACGTATATTCTTTTCAATAACACCACTTCATAAAATGTTCAGTATTTTATATTCATCAATCCCCTCAACCATTCAACAAATCAATGGACCAATAATTTAGTGGGAACAATTTTCAAACTGAGTTTAGAAATTTCATTTGTCCTATGTATTTTCAGACACAGTGTCTCTCAAATGGCACATGATACATATTTTGTGCCAATAAAATCAATTTATGTACAGCGCTAATACAAACAGAAAGCAATAGCTGGCTAGCAGTATCTCAGAACGACTAATATCCAAGTATCATGAGATTATCTATAGCGAATATCTATTTATTTCAATTTTTAGGTACATCCAGTTGACGAACCCCAAATAGGACGAAATGTGTCTTCTGGATTCCACTGCTAGTCACCATCCACAAAATGTCCGCTTACATTCAAACAAGTAAATAATTGCTTTATTCAGAAATGGAATGACAGAAATGGGTTCGCCTCAGCATATGAACACTACACAGACAAAAATTAAAAACGCACAAAACGAAAACTTGAAAAACCAGTATAACAAATTCATTTTAGCACTTTAAAATTCTCTTCTAATTTATTAGTGAAATGAAAATTTCCATCTTCAGTATTCCTATTCTTACCTGATCTGACGTATAAGCTACCAAATGGCTTAATATTGAAGCTGATTCTTCCCCGTTGAAGTAATTAAAATCTGTCAACTGATCACCTTTCCGCATGTAAGTTTTTATTGCTTGATCTCGTAGCCCCAGTGCTAATGTTGCACACGCCAAACTTGCACTTACCTGCGCAAAGATGAATGAATATACATGGCATAAGTGACTGATATAAATGAAAGAATGAAAGATATCAGATAAAGTATAGACAGCAGCTGGTCTCTGTCTCTCCAATTAACTATATTACTTTTTAATACTCTCACCCTGTCCCTCTCATCGTATTTTGTGTGGTTACATGCAAGTGAATGCAGTGCAACGACAGTGCTTTTTTCTAGGCTATTTAACTTGTCAGGGTCAATTATTCTAGGTCTAGCTAAATTTTTATGTTCCGACAATCTAGTTGACCCTGGTTTACTGATTTGACCTATGTAATTGACCTCACAAGTCAGCATTACATGGCATTTGGTAAATTATATTGATTTTCCTAATCGGATCTATTGGGTCCTTAAGCCGACGAAGTTTATCTGTAAGAGCGTGGGTTAGTTGGTTTACATGCCACCCTAATTCCAGCGTCACTCAGAATTCTACGCAAGGCCTCTGACGTTCCTTCTTTATAAGGCAGTACTATGGAGGCTGTAAATTCTATATTATTTTCGGTATTCTAATCACTTTTATTGCTAGTCTTAGTTTTTCTATGGTTCTTGATATATTTTTGAATAAATTCTGTTGGGTAGTTGTTATTCACTAGTAATATTTCCTCTGTATTTTTGAGTTCATTATTTAAATCTGCTGGCTTACTAGTTGGGCTTCTAGCTCAGTTATGCAAAAAATTTAACTAAATCTATCTTAACCGATTAAGGATGGGATGAATTAAAGTCTAAATAATCATTAGGAGTGTATCGGTTTCCTATAAGTGCCAGTATCTAACCCATAATCTTCTTTTCGTTTTATTCTACAGTCTAGTATGGCCAACTCACCCTGTTCATTTTCTAACTCAAAAGTGAATAGGATTCCGTCTACTAATGAGTTTATATGTGTGTGAGAAATTGTGGGGTACATTCATAATTCAACACGCTGAATGTATCATCCACTTATCTCCATCATAAACAATTTAACATGTCATTCATTCGTTTATGACTTATGAACTAACTAATGACGTGCAAATTGTTAGATTTTACAGTTGTAGACTCAACATCAAATCAGGTAGGTGATTAGTCCTACTGAGGAGTTATGTAGTTAACTGAAGAGTTCAAGAGGTATATTAGAATAGATATTGATGATTCGATATTATTTACAAAATAACAATACTGTCAGTATCGACTATTTTCTGACTGTCATGGGCATATAACTGTAGAACTTGACGAAAAAAAAATGATTGGAAGGAATATCCTCTGTTCATTATTCAATCTGTCAAAGAGGATTTTTTAAGGAGATGGATATTCATTTCTTCTATTGAACACTTGTACCTGAGAATACATGATTCAAAAAAGCCATCGTATTAATTGTGACAAAAATCCATATATTTCAAAAGAATAGTGAACTTACTTCAATAACTCCACCGCCTTTATGTGATGGATCATTCTTACTTGATGCCGACAGAAATTTATGCGGTAATCCAAGCGCATGAACCATCCAATCTAATGTGATCACCTCCAGTTCAGTACAAGAAGGACAAGATATCTGACAGTTCAAGAGAAAATAATCTCCGATGCATATCATCAATGTAACAGGAATTAAGAGAATCAATTATGAAATTTGAATAATTGCTTCGGAAAGATGAAACAGCTATTTGGTGACCTAAGCACATCCAATTTCCCGGTGAGATTTTTCGACTGGCATAAGTGGTGCACAGCTACTCTTATGAGTTAGTAATATATATATGTAGCGCTGTGGAATCCTGTTTGTGACTTTTGGTAGATAATTCTAGTTCATTAACTTAATATGATTCAAGGGTAGTCAGAGGTTGTTTCAGCATATATTGTGATTGGTCAGCTCACATTACCACACCTAGGAATGATAGCAATTCTAACCAAGTTACTAGCCAAGCACATTTACCACTAAGCTAGTCGAGTCTCCTTACTTTTTATTCATTTTCTAGATAATGTTGCTTAATGTGGAAATCTCCAGTGAAACTCATCAATTCCGCACAAATTCATGATTTTAACAATGTAATTGTTCTGGTTGACGCGATAAATGTGGGTAGAATTAGTCAAGCTTTCAGCACAATCAGTATGCAGAGAAACCATCGTTACTTCATTTTTTCAGAAGCTATTGCTATCAAAAGATTCTAGCTCCAACTCGGTATACAAAAAGATGGCGTAATCAACCTCTCACTATCCTCGTAACTGTGAATGTTTTATTCGTGAGCATTTCTGTGTATTAGATTCTGTTTGTAAAACACTAACTGATATGGACTTTCACTTGATTGTCTGTCTATATCATAATCTTACATCTACATTTCAATACTACTCTCCTGAACTTTCATTCATAGTCATTCTGGTGCTCAGTTTTATATTCTGCCTTAGTTTCAATGCCAAACTTGAACTCCGCCTTTTTAACACTGAATAATTCATCTAATTACATTGTTTCCTAATGATGTCACTTATATTTTTCGTCAATGACTGGATATCACTGTGGTAAAAGTATGTTAAGACCTTTTATAACTAAGATTTTGATACTGTTCAGGCTGCATGCAGTTGACGAGAATCCATGAAACAAAACCGGCTCGTATTATCTTTGAAACATGTTCATTTTCTTCTGTATTCAAACTAATCGAGGAAACTGGGTGTATGTTATACTAAACTATTTTTTTTTATTCCGTGCAATCAGAAACAGTGGCGCTTATATGCTGAATATGTATACAAAGACAGTTCTTTCGGGAGAAACTTCCTGTAAGAATTGTTTTACTCTTTCCTTATTCTATCTAAAGCTTGCATAACCCTAAATTTGATAGTTGAAGGCTATAAACGAAAGACTTGACTCTTAAATGCAGAATCTGATAACCCGGTTTAAAAGTTTCCAGCTGGAGTTCCCCATAAACCTTGCTATCAAGCATCAAGAAAGATAGAACCTACTTCCAATACTTCCAGCTGACATCTTAGAGACAGTTAAATCAAAACTTAAAACACAATGGTAAGCCAGCCAGGTGAACATATCGCAAATTGGTTAGAGGATTTCATCATTAGCTGACATCAGTTAGAGATTCATTGGAGAACCTAGTTTTGGACTGTTCATCGGTACGTACCCACCAGGGTTCGAAACCTACAAAACTGACCTGATGCTCACTAGCGACTGGCCGTATTCAGGCAATGACCTGGCGTTCTAGTGGGAAGCCGTAACAAGTAGGGTACAGCATTTCGACAGTGAGCAGTATCTCATAGAAGAAGACAATGTGAAGTGGTCGGGCTATGTCATGAATTGTCAGAATTTGGAATTCATGGTATGGCTGGTCATTGGATCGAGTGCCAGTGAGTGGCTTAACGGTCTACGAGCTCTCTAGCCTTGTAACGAGAAGGTCGTGAGTTGGAACCCTGGTGGTGGATGCATACTGCTGAAGAGTATCAAACTAGGTTGACGAAACATGTAGCTGTCCAGTACTCCCTGCAGGTTTTCCAATGGTTCTATACTGATGTCAGCTCATGACGAAATCCTGCAACCAATCAAACAAAATCCCTACATAAACCAGTACTTGAAAATATCGCAAATTCTCTTCTGGATTTTAAACAGCATAAAGAATAAAATTGCATATCATTAGTTACGTACTTACTTACTTTGTATTTCTCTGTATCACTCTTTCAGTCTGAAATACTGCTCCTTTTAACTATTAAAATCTCAGTTCCCTACAGTGTATGGAGACTAGTGTTTTTAACGTAAACTACTAGCTATCCAGAGATATATTACGATCTCATGCACATATTTCTACTTATTTGTTATTATTTTGCTAAATAAGACTGTTACTTGTTATTTGTTGTCATCACATGCGAATGAAAGTCTATAATTGAAATGAGGATGAAAATAACTTGATCTGCGATCAATTTTATCTATTAGCCGTTTATTCAATGGTATATTCTTCTGTAATCATGCCTTTAAACGTTATTCATTCTCTTGTCATAAGAAATGTCGGGGTTACAAATAAATTTGACGAGTGAATATATCACATATGGAGGAGCAGTGAGTTCCATACTGCCAGCTGGCTGATATGATCATGAATTAAGCAATAACAACAATAACAGACGTGCGTCGGCGGTACAGCGGTAGAATGCTCACCGCCAACCACTACCCCGTGTGGTTCGGGGTTCGATTCGTGGCAAATGCTCTCCTTCACCTCACTCAGCCAGTAATAAGAATGGTAAAGAGGAAAGGTTGGGCAAGAGGCTAGCAGCAAACCCATCTCTTAAAAATAAACATACCTACTGCTGAAACTTCAAGCATCTAGTCTGAAGTCCTATGTTCCACTGGGAACGTAAAGGAGTAAAAAAAATAACAACAGACATTGTGTGGGTGATATCTGCCAGTGGATACGAAAACATCTAGTCTCAACAGTAACAAGGTAGTCAGATTTATCTGGTGAGAGTCTCATCACTGTGAATTACGGTGAACAAAACTGAGAACAAATTTATCAGCATAGACTCAGTCAAAATATTACAGCTGAGAATCTGTATGGTAATTTTCTCACCATGTGACTTTGTGGTATTGGATTCGATAGGGTAGGATTCCGGATAAATAATTCTCGTTAGTACGCCTGTGTATTATAACAGTCATGCAATAGACTCTAGTTTTCCAATAATTTTGATCTCTGTCGTCAGTCTCCATTAACTATTTCCATGTAATGGTTGGTTGAATCTACGTTAACTGTTCAAGTGGTAAGGTTTATTTAAAAATCAAACTGTTCAGAAAATAACGTACCCATGAAAATCCCACGCATGCTAAACTCGCATTGAGTAAACTTCCTAACGCTGATGCATATGACGAACCTGTTGGATAATAGGCATGAAAATCTGGATGCTGCCAGTGGGTAACCTAAATGTTTAAATAATCAGAATGATACATGCTTCTGAATGAATTAAATAATAGCAAATTAAATGTCATACATTGTCGTAATAAAAAAAACAAAAATTTCTAAAGATGTGTTATTAAAATTGTAGGTTTCAGATAACAGTGCCAAACCAATTTCTAGAGAAAATCAAAGGCATTTATATGGATGACCAAAAAATAATGGTACCCTTCGATTTTACAGCACTATATACTTCATTTGAACAGAAACCAGCAAAAGAAATCATTGAGCAGTTATTCAACCACGACACACTCCCCACAACACTCAAAAATGCAACAAACAAGTTGGATGGAATGCGCAAACCTTTGTCTAACAGCGTATTTTCAATTCATTGACCAAACACATGGACATATTAAAGGGACACCTATTGGACTATCCATATCAGGCCTGAATGAAGAAGCTGTGATGCAAAGACTTGAAGACGTAATCCTACCGAAGACCAAACCCAAAATGTGGATATGTTGCGTAGATGATACATTCGGGATAATCAAGAGAAATGACTTAGATAAAATTCAAAACTAAATAAACGACATCTTCAGTGACATCAAATTCACAAGAGAAGAGGAATCCGAGAACAAAATACCATTTTTGGACGTCATAGTCAAGTGAACAACGACAGGAAAATTAGGAACTCAAGTTTGTAGGAAATCAACTCACACAGACCAAATACTCAGTTATAACAGCAATAACCCAATAACACAAGAAACGTACAAACATTATTCAAAGATCCAGGACAGAATGCAGCATTCCTACCTTAAGAAAATTGAAGAAAGATTTCACATGAAGGTCTTCCAAAGGAACGGATATCCACGAAACTTAATCAAAAAACATCTTCTCCCAACCCAACCAACCAAATCAAAGGCTCTCAAAGAAAGCACAAGGAAAATTGCTCTACCATGAATAAAGGACATCTTAGAAATCACTGCAAGACAATTCAAACCTTTACGAATCGATGTCAAATCAACAATATCACTTCCTTCAGCTGGCTCTATGTCACTCAAAAGACTTAACAACGAAAGAAGATAAAACCAACATCATCTAAGAAATAAATTTCAAAAACTGCAAAAAACACTACTTTGGCCAAAGTGGACATCCTCTTCGTCTTCGTATCCATGATCATAAACTAGCCGTCAAAAGACATGATATCCACTCTTTCACATCGCTTCATACAGACAACCATGGACGTCATTTCGACTGGGACAACGTTCTAATATTAGACACAGGAAACACCATGAATTCTAGAGAATTTTTAGAAGACTGTCTGGAATTCCTGTGAATCGTCAATCAATATACACATTGACGTAGACAAAATTTACCAATATGTATGAGGAATATCTCATCCCCAAAAAGTCGAACTTCAGGTCAAGGAAGCAATGAGTACCAATATAAGTAGCCGTCTAGAGGGTGTGAAAGCACACAGAAACAACCAACCACGTTCAGTGTCACCAAGAGAGATGACTTGCAAACTCATGGAGAAATTTAAAACCTCAATTCAAATTGAAGTATACGCTGAAAAAGTTGCCTATTAAGTCAGTGAAAGAACCGCGAATAAACCATCCAGCTCAGAGAAAATAACTACATCAAAATTATCCACCTGAGCTACAAATCTTCGCCATCATATCTAGATTCCCAATTACGTCATACAAAAACAATAGTCGCGTAGAAACCAAAGACAAATTAAACAATTAAACTAAGTGACGTTACATGATTAACAAGATTCTGTTGGACACAGCTACAATTGGAAGTAGGTCAAATTGAGACTAGATGTAATAGTGAGGAAGAAAGAAGAATTATACTTTTACAAATTTTAGAAATATTTCGCATAAAATGTTGATCCAGATTAAGTCTATTTTAGTTTCAGTGATTAAACAAACTCCTTCTATATGCAGAACTCAGCGTTAAACAAGTGTATCGCCATAGTTTGGGCATTTTGGAGAAGTTTAATTCACATGCATTTGACAGGATTTCTGCATACTGTATCAAAGGCGTATGAATCACAGAAGCTATACCAACCCACATGTTAGACAACCAACTCTATAGAGAAGTTTGTTTATTCACTGAACCAACAAATTATATTTTGAATACTCAATATCAATAACTTCTGCCCTGTGAATAACACATCACTATTTACAGTTATAATGATAATAGTACTTACCCCGGGCATAATTTTATCTTTAATATCCTGAAGTATTTCACCGAAGCTTTCTTTCTCTTCAGGAGCTTCTTTTGGTAGTAGAGGCAACAGATAACCAGGTTTAATCTTATTATTATCAGGTAGAACAGGGAATTCACGAGAAAATGCACCATTCCTATAATTTACTATGAATTGTAATAACATGTGAGCAGAGGTTAGAAATTCTTCTGAATCCATAATATTTGACTGAATTACCCTTATCTAAAGAAATGATGGAAAAGAGGAGAAACACAGAGATGCATGTTTTCTACAGTGTGACATCTGAAACCAAATTTATAGACAATGATCTTCAGCAGAGTGTATGGTATTTAAATTCCATCTCGCCTTTTTCTCAAAACTTTTATAAAGCTACCGAACCAGATGAATATGAATTCCTATTGTTTATCTAGACTTCGTTGTCGATATTATTCATGAGTGAGGTTAGCGTACAACACAGGTGAAATTAATAATATCTGAAACACTCGAAGAGGTGTTACACGACACTGATATCATTAGGGTATTGAAAGTGAGCTTATATATATATATAGTCATCCAGTTTTTGATGTTCTGTCACACGATGAATATGTAGCATTGACTGTAGAAAGACTAAGACCCACAAAATCTTTCTGGGTGAATAGTTAGGACATAGAGTAAGTGGACCGATCATGTTTCACTCAAATCAATCAGCTACAGGTTGCGTCAGCATTTGGGGAGTGTATCGGAGCGACTGTTTTATCATTATTTGCTAAGTGGCTTTTTCAAAAAATTCCCTTTGGATAAACGTAAATATTTTTTTAATTAGAACACTAATGTACAAAGTCTGGTGACGCTACATATTGGTCTATCATAAATGAATGTGACCTCTCTTTTATAATGTAGGCTTTCTTTAAATCAATCGGTTTTTTAAACCATCCTATCTTTGACTGAAATGTTTAAGGATGTAAGTTGCTTGCCACCTTTGTCCCCACACGTAAGACTGATGTGATTCTGTACAAAGTGAAGGCTGTTCAGTGGGCGAGTTGCATCTTCCTGCTTATTACATGTCCCAATAACTGTATAAATGTATCTTGTATAACAGTAGCTTTAGCAAACAAATCCCCTACTAGGTTTTCAATGTCCTAACGATCTCCCTATAGCAATTCTATCCACTTGTCTAAAGTGCTCAGCTTCAAAAGTAAAACAAACATTGTCAGAACATAACAGAAATAAATAAGGCAACTAGAAGATAGGTAATCACAAGGAAAGTCGACAATCCCGATTAAAGTTACATTAGTAAACAGTGAATTACCATCAGAAGAGTACATTTTCTTATCTCCTGTATTCATGTCCTCAAGACAGTCAGGAAGTTTAAAAGTATCTTGCAAAGAAGATTTATACAATTCACTCTATATTAAGTTTGTAATATTAAATAGTCATAGTGCCAATTTATGCATGAAAGAAGAACAACAAGTTGACAGAACTGGGTGTAATGGATTGCCAGCTTTTTGAATCCTAAGTAATCCATAAAGGTTTCGAGGGTCAGATCCCATGAATTTCATAGAAGTAAATTCTCCTTTTTTTCAATGTACGTGCTACGAAGTTTCACCAAATGAAATGTTTCCTTCCCTCCAAATGTTCTGGTGTCATGAGATGGTGAATCCGATATGAATTTGCTTTCAACATCAAAAATGGATGATATTTGTGTTTTACGATCACGTTTATCTATTACAACTACACCTTTAATCCTTTATCAGATTTCAGAATGATTATATCAGATCTACTGCATCGTTTCAAAGGCTTCATAGTCGGGATGGTTTCTCATCTCCTACCTGAATTACGTAGCCTATTTGTCATATGAGAAAAACTAGCTTCAACTAGCTTTGGTCCTCTGTCGAGGTAGGAATTAGGGCACTTAAATGACCAGAAAAACTTTCAAACTTTGAACTAATGGTTAAATCAGAGATATTGGTTGGAGGGATGGAAAAACTGGAACAAAGTGCCTTTTCTTTATGTACTTATAGTTCAGAAGACGACAGACTCATCAGGATTGATTTATTGGAAAAGAGGTTAATAGATAGTCATCGATGTATAATTTGAGAAACTTCAGTCAGTTATTTTCTCGCGTAGTCAACTAGCAACCTCATCTATGTAAATAAAGTTAACAAGATTACTTTGAAAACAACTTTCAAGATCAGTAAAGGCTGTGGAGTCCTCAAAAATAAACTTATCCAATTTTTACTACTATGTAAGAAATGAACATATTGTACATTACTTTGTTTTAATCATAATCTCCGTAATTTGTACTTTACCTCGGGTTTTGAATGAAAATATAGTTCTGCCTTCGACTCTCCGTCTTCTCCACCATCTCAACTGTCGCCGATCAGTTCTAACCACCTGCTTTCTATCTCAAATTTTCGCAGGAACACCGTAGTTTCTTCCTACGTACTTTGGTCGACCTCCGGCAACGTCAACATTGGAGAATTAGTACTGGAGCAGTCTTCCCGCAGCACCTCTGGAGTCTATTACGTTTATTGTGGCTTTTGGATCTTTGTAAACCCAAGTAACGAAACTTTAATATATTCTTCCCGTAACTAAACTGATTTGGTATTTTATTTTCTATTTGAATTTGAGATACTACGCTAACAGAGTAAAAGGTCCACCACAATATTTGGGTAGCCCGTTTTGGAACCCTTTTTTCGATAGTTAACTCGTTTTGAACATTTTTGTTGCTATTTTGGCCTTATAAACTCGCATCGCTTTAATTTTTGTTACCGCACGTTTTGCTATTTTGTATATCTCTATACTTAAACATTTTTTGGCAATGGCTCCACCTAAACGTACCACTGTTGCTGAAGAAGGTAATAAAGGCGAAGAGACACAGAACTCTTCTGTTAACGCCTTGCCGGATTTAAGACTACCTCACTTTGATCTGGCTGAACCACGTGTCTGGTTCACAATCATTGAACAGTTGTTTGCAGCTCGGGGTATTACGTCGCAGATTGCCATGTATGGTTGTGTATTAGCAGCAATACCCACGGAAGTACTACGAGAGGTTATCGATGTCATAGACGGCAAACCTACAGACTCTCAATATGACAAACTAAAAGCTGCACTCATCCAGCGGACCACCCTCCCCGATGAGAAACGCATACAACAACTACTTACTGAGTGCGATCTAGGTACAAAAAAGCCATCTCAACTACTTAGACATATGCGTCAGTTGATTGGATCACACAAAGTAGATGAGTTAATTCTAAGTCAGATGTTCTTACAACGTTTACCACAAAACGTTCAACAAATCCTAACAATATCTCTAGGACGACAGACCTTGAAGAATTAGCTAAGATGGCAGACGATATCATGGATGTGTTATCAAATAATGGCATAAATAGCGTGTCTACAGAGGTAGTACCACCAGTCCCCTCCACATCTATGAAGGACGCACCAATGTTTTGCTTACTTTCCCAGTTAACATCTCAAATGCAAGACTTACGACTGGAAGTGTCTGAGCTTCGAGCACAACGGAACCAGTCACATACGGTATCCAAGCAACGGCGATCAAGATCTAGACGACGTTCTAGTACACCGTCTCAAAGCCGTAACATTTGTTGGTATCATAGGAGGTATGGGCATAATGCCCTGAAGTGTCTTCGACCGTGCATGTACAACAGTGGCAACTCAACTCAGGGAAACTCCCCAGCCAGACAGTAATGGCGACGGCTGTTACTGGCAATCACCCAGTCGCCTTTTCTATGTGAGGGATTTGACTACCGGCACATTATTCCTGGTTGATACAGGCGCCGAGGTCAGTGTTATTCCCCCTCACTATCCAGGCGATCAGCCAAAATACCGGGAAACTTTCACTCGTGCTGCCAACCAAACCAACATACAGACGTATGGCGAACAGTCAATGATTTCAAACTTGAGACTACGCCGACGTTTCACATGGATCTTAATAGTAGCTGACGTACGTCCTGTAACTAAACTGATTTGGTACTTTATTTTCTATTTGAATTTAGGATACTACGCTAACAGAGTCTAAGGTCCACCACAAGTCAGTAAGGGGCGCTTGTTGTAATGCCCTGAAGTGACAACTATCGGTTAAACTTGCCTCCCGCCCCCATATGTGTGTAGAAAATTAATTTACTATTAACTTTAGCCTACCACGGTAATCTTTACTGGAATAAACTACCAGGAGAATCTATTTAATTGAATTTTAGATTTTCCCATGGATTGATTGGACCGAAGTGTTCGGATCTGTACAAGATGCCGACTTGTCAACCTGAGACCGAGCACTTCGGTCCAGACAATCGACAGGAAAATCTTAAATTGAATTAAATAATTAATATGACCCGTTGGACATGTGGTGGCTCTCGTGGCCCAAGTGGTCTAGTGGATAACGCTTTGGTGTCTGAAACTATTGGCACTAGGTTCAAGCCTTGGTGGGAACACCATCACTCACTGAGGAATGCAGGCACATCAAGCTGACGAGTTTCAAATAGGACGAAATACACGTTATCCTGGATTCCACTGCTAATCACCATCCACCAATTAAATACCAAGAGTAGTGTTAACTACTATCCCTTTTCGTACAGACTGATTTGACAAGTAAATGTATAGTCAGAAAGTTCATAATATATTAAGTAAACACATCATCAATAACACTATAGACTGGTGGTAAAACAAAATGAACTCTGCTTCTTTACAAACAAGTTCAAACTAGATAGCTTACTCTGGACTTTTCATTAATGAATCCCATCATATCATATGGATTCGATTTAAAAATGCTAGTTCACCTGAGAGTATGCTGCAACACCAACTTCAAGTTAGAAATTAAATGCCCCATAACTCTACACCATAACAATTCATCACACAACAAACCCATTTCCGAATAACACTGCTAACGTAACTCTCTCTCTCTCTCTCTGTATTGGTCGCTTTTCTTATTTATATTAGTGTTTGTAAAGAATAGTACCACTCGTTCACTAGATGATTGTGTTTTGCGGGAAATACCTTCAGTTGCAAAAACAATCAGTGTTAAGACTGAATTACCATTAGGTAAGCGTTTCTGATGGTCAGTACACCGCTAAACATCTGACTGAGTAGAAGTCAACAAGGAAGACTATGAATATTTAAAGCAAAAAAATATGAAATCCTGTCACCAATCAAATCCCCACAAACCAACACTTGGCTATCAATGAGATGTTCACTAGCGACTCACCCTATTCAAGTAATTAGTTACCTTGTGTTCTAGTGGGAAGCCGTGACAAGTAGGGTGCAGCAGGTCAGGTGTGAGAACAAATACTCGCCCAAAACATTGGCTAGCAGTCGCGCTATATCATGAATTGGCAGAAGTTAGAATTCATGAACTGGCCATTGGATCGGGTCCCAGTGGGTGGCTTAATGGTCTACGAGCTCACTGGCCTTGTAACCAGAAGGTCCTGGGTTCGAACCCCACAGTGTGGGTGCGTACTGATGAAGAGTCCCAGACTAGGCTGACGAAACAGCTGTCCAGTACTCCCAGTTGGTTTTCCAATGGTTCTCTAACTAATGTCAGCTCAAGATGAAATCCTGTAAAAAAATATTACTCTGTTACCATGTACCATGTATTACAAAAAAAACTAGTTACATATATATGTAAAACTGTTTTACTGAAAATTACCTGTCATAATCTAATATCAACTAATTCCTTGTATTTAGACTCACCTTTCGTTATATGACGTTAATAATTCAAATATAGTTATCATTTTAGAAACCCGAGTGCATTTATACCCCTGTTGATTTCTTATTTCAATTAAAGAAAGCGATTTGATTGGTAGACTAATTTTTTTTCAGATATCTGTCATAATTATCTCGTTTAATCTAGCTTTCTATTATATCTGTTTACAGTATTTTTTCCAATTTTTTTTAAAACTCCACATGAGTGTTTTTAATTCCGCTTTCTGTATTGTTATTTGAAGTGAACATCGTAGCGCGGAATAAGTCATACTGTGGTATTGATTTTTATACAGATTTCGTTTGATTGGTTGGAGGATTTCATCATGAGATGACATCAGTTAGAGAACCAGTGGAAAGCAACACAGGACTACTGGATAGCTAGCTGTTTCGATTTGACACTAATAACTAGTTGATGCGTCTAGTCCTCTGATTGGTGTAGACTGAATTGTATCAGTCAGGTTGTAATGTGACTGCCATTCTAGCTAGCTCGTCATCACGGTGCACATTGATTTGATGGTATTAGATGGTTGGAGGCAATCGGACACAGGAAGCGTTGGACCTAGGTTTCGTGCTAGTTGGCACCCATCTGCAAGGCGTATCTGCAACCTTGAAGGAACTCATGTCCCTTCTAATACCATCAAATCAATGTGCACCGTGATGGCGAGCTAGCTAGAATGGTGGTCACATTACAACCTGACTGATAGAATTCAGTCTACACCAATCAGAGGACTAGACGCATCAGACTAGTTACTAGTGTCAAATCAAAATATCCACTACAGTCCTATAGGAGGTCAATCGCAAGCCCGAATAGCTCAGTGGTAATGTCTCTGACTGCAGCACTGGGTGACGGTGGTTCTAATCTCAGAAGGGACATGAGTTCCTTCAAGGTTGCAGATACGCCTTGCTGATGAGTGCCAACTAGCACGAAACCTCGTTCCAAGGCTTCCTGCCGATTGCCTTCAACCATCTAATAGCTAGCTGTTTCGTCAGCCTAGTTTGGAACTCTTCATCAGTACTCACCCACCTCCAGGGTTCAAACCCACGACCTTCTGGTTACAAGGCTAGCGAGCTCGTAGACCATTAAGTCACTCACTGGGACCCGCTTCAATGGCCAGTCCATGAATTCTAACTTCTGCCAATTCATGACATAGCGCGACCACTTCACAATGTCACGTTAGATGAGTAACTGTCCTCCATTTTACCCTACTGGTCACGGCTTCTCGCTAGAACCCCAGGTAACTGCCTACCTGAATAAAGCCAGTAGCTAGTGAGCATCAGGTCAATTTTCAAGTATTGGTTTTGTAGCGTCTTCGAGCTCATCTTGAAACCAGAAGGTCCTGAGTTCCAACACTGCGGAAGAGTCCCAAACTAGGCCTACGAGACAGCTGGTTGTCCAGTACTCCGTGCTGGTTTTTCAATGGTTCTCTAACTGATGTCAGCTCATGATGAAATCCTCCAACCAATCATACTATGGTAGTAAATAATACCTGGAAGGCTATTCCATGAAAAAATGTCACAATCTTTTTGAAAGATTCTCCATTTTCCAAATCATGACAAATTATACTAGCTACTGTGTTTATCCCGTGAAACAACCTGTTTCCATTAGCTGTCGAAACCACTAATTCACATCGTTACTTAGTAGAATATTTCATCAAAATCCTCAACAGAAATCAATGTCATTCTAAGAAGCTTTTCCCTCTTAGTAGTTTTCAAATATAAACTGCAACACTGAAAATAATCTAAATGTTTTCGGTTTTTGCGTCTTTCTCGGCAACTGAAAAAACTAAGCAATGTGATTATTTGGATGAATTAAGTTAACTGATTCGTATTCAGTTAAATTCATGGATAGATTTAATGAGATATTTCCCTCGAAGACATGTCCCAATTATTTTTGAATTACAGTTTGGTTCATAGAGGATGAATTAGTTTTTTAAATCGATATTCATCATTTATATCTAGAAGAATGTCTTAGTCTTCTCGCTTAACGTATATCCAGTAGACACTGATTCAAAAATGTTAGAGAAATCCGGATAATACTGAATTATTACAACAAAATCTTGGTAGCACTTTGTTGTTCTAATTTTAGTAGTCCTTTGCAGGCGGCAAAAGTGCATATTCATAACGATAACTCCGACTTCAGCGGTATCTTTCAAGAATTTAATAATTCCCATCCTTCAAATAAATTGGCAATGGAAGTAGAAAATTAGTCAAAGATTTCATCTCTGAAGAGATTCATCCAGAGAGAACCAACTTGGGATGGCCTACTAACGAACTTTTATAATTGGATACCTTTGAGCCGAAAACGCGCTCTCATCATCGCTTTAACCCACAGTATCAGAGGAATCTGCAGCAGTGGCTGCTTGGAAGAGGAGCTCCTATTCCTCAAAAATATCTTGGCTCAAGATGGCTACCCGACACGTTTTGTCGACAAGAACATGAAACCAGAACCGAACATAGAAGAATGCAATCCAGGGCACAGGAAAACTCTGTGTATGAATATGAATTTCAGGAGAGATTTGGCAGCTGATATCCTGAAGAGAAGAATCTCCAGCTATTTAAAGAAGACTCTATATGCAGCAATACTAAGAGTGACATTCACTGGTCGCCCAGTACTTTTCAACAATGCAAAGGATAAGCTTCCGCATATGACCAATTGAATGTGCGTATACCAGTTCACCTGCTCGTGCGGAGCTAGGTATATAGGTCATTGTATGTGTGTCCTTTCAAAAAGTGTTAAAGAACATTACCCAGCAAGGCTGCAAAGAGGAGGTACCGGTCCAATGAGAAGTGGCATAACTGAACATCTGATCAACTCCCCCACAACATCTCAACTGATTCATTAAAAGTCATTTACCAAATAAACAAAAACCTACCAAAGGCGGTATGTTTCCGACTTCTTTGTACTGCAGAAGCCCTTTCAATATGCATCAGAAAGCCGGAGTTGTGTGTTCGAAAGAAACTAGTTCAACCTTTACAACTACCATGGACCTAGTTTGGTATGTTACCTTAGCCTCTGATTGTTTTTGTTCTGTTCGCTGTGTCTTTGTCTTCATTCAATTCATTCCGTTTTTTCGTTATAAGAACAGTTATTTTAAATTTGCTTCCATGCTCTTCCTGCTAACACTTGTATTTCGTTTAAAATAACATTTTACGATTATATTCTAACCCTGTCTAATTTTCGTCTCTAAGCCTCGTGTAAATCTATATCAAGTTGGAAATAATCGTCATCTTTGATTCACCTTCATAATTATGTGGAATTAAATAATATTTGCATCTATGTATTTATTATTTTTTTTTCTTCAGGTTCCCTAGTGGAACATAGGGCTTCAATCTAGTGGCTTGAATTTTCGGTAACATCAGTGTTTATTTTTACAGGATGGGGTTGCTGGCCTCATGCCCAACCTTTCCTCTTTACCAGCATTATTATTTCTGGCTTAGCGAGGTAAAAGAGTGCGTCGGCCGGGGATCGAATCCCATACCATGTGCATGGTCGGCCAGCGTCCTAACCGCTGTGCCACCGACGCACGCACCTATGTAAATTTATGTATTTAAATGCGATTGTACAGCTTTTGTAAATGATATCACCGAAAAGACATCTATGCTGGACTTCGTGTTCTCTTCTTTCTAATGTCTTAATGGGTATTTTCCACGATATTCATATCTGTCAGGTGGAAATAGTGTCTAATTTTTAACTCACCAAATTCCCAATTTATCAGTCAAGTTCATAATGCCAAAATTCACCCGTTTCTTCATTGAATACAAAACTCAACTTAAACTGTTTTACAGGATTTTATCATCGGCTGACATCAGTTACAGAACCATTAGAAAACCTGGGCAGCCAGCTGTCTCTTCAGTCTACTTTGGGACTTTTCATCAGTAGGCGCCCACTGGGGTCTGGACGCACGACCTTCCTTACTCATAGAACTCATAGAAAATTAGGCCCGATCCAATATCCCATCAATTCTAACTTCTGCCAATTCACGATATAGAGCGACCAATAGCCAATGCCTTCAGCAAGTATTTGTCCTAACATCCGACCTGCTACAACCTACTGGTCAAGACTACTGTAACCAATCAAATCCCTACAAACCAACAATTAAAACTGTTTTAGTTAACACTCAAAAATAATGACAAACGATGTAGATTGGTGAAATGATACATCATACTAAACTGGATCACCTTTAGTTTGCAGTAGGGTATTTTAGTGGAGAAGTAAAAACAACGGTTTCTCAACAGTTGCATAGATCCAACAAACTGTATGAAGTAAATCGTAGACGCACAAGCATGAAATATCAGCAGAATACGTCTATATCTCTGTATATTATGACCCACAATAATCCCCAATTCAACCATACATAATACATCTCAGTTATCTCATTCTCCTTTACATTAGTCCTCATTTTCCAAAACGGAAGTGACATTTCATTATGACCGAAAAAATTCCGCCTTGGATTGTCATTTCTTAGAAAACAACCGGAAACCTGTTTCCTTCGAATCAATGAATATGAAAAGAAACAAGATCCGATAAGAATACATGATGGTTTCAAATGCTATCTACCGAAAACATGTTTCAGATTTGCATATATATTTCTTATTATCACCACCAAAGACATTTCTATGCTTAGACTTCGAGAGGTAATCGAAATATATCGTCTTGCCTTATGCACTGTCCGCCATTTATACATATCTATGTATATATATATATATATATATCGAGTGATCACCGCTGACTGATTGAGCTAGAGCTCACTGTGTAAAACATATAACTCGAAGAAAGCGAAGATCACCTCCCTAATCCTTGAAACAAACTATTGGTGGAAATTATTTCCATTCAATATCTTGCTCCGAAAATGTGTGTATTATATGCATTCACAAAATACGTGGTTGTGTTTGTCGGTGAAACACGTACACAAGTCCACAGACTATTTCGTTAGTCCAAGATGCTCTTACCTACCTGTGAGGAAGTTTGTCAATAAGCCTCATTTATGTAAGTGTGGGAGGTGATTGATCTCTATGGTTGAATGTAATTCCATGTTGAATAAATTTACA